CTTCTTTCCACCTGGAAAAGTTTTAAGGAGGTACGGGATTTATTTTTTTTCAATTTATACATTTCTTTTTCGAACTGAAGAAAAAGAACGTAGCCTTTCTCTTTCTTGATCGTTTTTCACAACCTCCTTTCAGAGCACTGGAGGTGGCTATACGGTGGGCTTCGAGAAAAGAGCATTTAGTATGGAAGAGTTTGTCTTACATGTTAGGTGAAACTTTATAGAACTTTGGGGTGCACACTCAACTCTTCGGTACACGTGGATGAATATTACTTTGCGCCGGGGCACTTAAATTGCCGCCCCTGAGCTTATTAATGCCTGTTTAGTGCGAATGATTTCTACGTACTTATGCTGGTTATCAGTCCAATAAGGCGAGGTTTAACTGCACTCTACATTTCACTCCTATCCTTGTGGGATTCGGTTATTGGAGACGTCGGCACATGTAAACACGGGGGCCTCTTTCTCTCGTTTCTGCTTATAATTGCCGATAAATAGTAAGACCTAGAAGATTTAAAAGTGGCCTGCTATCCATAGCTTAACGCAGCCAGTCCGCTGTCACTCTCTTTCTCAGCAATGATCCTAAACACTCTAGAGAAACAATAGCAAGTGAATGGGGTTACTCTAGATTGACTTCTAGTTCTGCTGTTTAAATGCTCTGAAGATTTCAGCTACCCACCTTTTGGCTGAGAATGAAGCGGGGGGGGGGGGGCTTTTAATGCAGGATGTTTAGATTTTTAAGGCTGTGCAAGGCCGGAGGAAGCAGGAAGGTCCAGCTATATAGAATAAATGGGGCAGCCCTTACTAAAGGCGCCTGGCTCCCGGGAAGACAAAAAAAGGTCAAGCAGATATTCTACTTCAGGTCTTCAGACTATGCCTGTTTCGTTTTAAAAACATTGGGCTCCATACTCTGCACCCACCCCCACCCATGGATGCATTTGTGCAGTTCTATCCTGGGCGGGTTTATTCAAAAGTAAGCTGTGCTAAACTCAACGGGATGTGTCTGGTAGGTCGATAGAGATTTGAGCCTGGGGCTGTCGTCCTAGGCATGTCGGAGTGGCCCCCGGGCAGAGGTTTCGGAGAGGAAGGAAGAAAAGATCCAAAATGTTGAGCAGATTTGGGGCGGGGGGAGGTGCGGTTTGAGATTTGTTTTTGTGGTCTGCGTGACTGTCACTTACAGGAGAGTGAGCGACTTCTTCAAGTGAAGACCGTTGTTGCTTTGTGTTAAAGGGGCAGAAGAGTAACCTTCACACTCCCCCACCCCGCCCTTGTTCTTTTCTCCTCCCTCCTCCCCGCTTCTTCTTTTGTGCCTCTTCTTCCAGTCAACCCCAGCTACGCCGGAGGGGAGCCCAAGCGCTCCAGGACAGCCTACACGCGGCAGCAAGTGCTGGAGCTGGAGAAGGAATTCCACTACAACCGCTACCTCACCCGGAGGCGAAGGGTGGAAATCGCGCACTCGCTTTGCCTGTCCGAGCGCCAGATCAAGATATGGTTTCAAAACCGGCGGATGAAATGGAAAAAAGACCACAAGTTACCCAATACTAAGATCCGCTCAAACGCTGCTGCCAGCCTGCCGGTGCCTGGCGGGGCAGGAGGCCCCCAGGACCGAAGCAATGGGCCGGCCCCGAAACCCACCCCCAACCTATAACCGTCCTTGAGCGCGACCGGAGGGTGCGTGTGTGCGTGCGTGCGTGTGTGTCTCTGTGTGTGTGTGTTGGGGGGCGGGGTGTGCGTGGACGCGTGTGTTGAGAACTGATTATGGAACGGAAGATCGCTTTGTGGCTTTACTGTTCCCTGAGAAGAAAGATGGGGGCCGTTGGGGAAGGGGAGGGAGGATGGGTGGGATCACTATTTATATGAGGAAGAGGAAACAAAGGAAAAGGGGGGGCTGTTCCCATTGGCCGACAAGCCGGGTTATGTTTGGGGGTAGTTTCTCTGTTCTATAGGAGATAGGGGTTTCCAGATTTGGCTAAGATGGATCCCTTCTTCATCCTTAATCAAGCCAAACTTGGGCCCATTTGTCATGTTTACTCTCGCGTACAAACGAAGGACCTTATGCCAGCCATTAGCTCGACAGCCAGAGTCCTCTTTAATAAATGAGGCCTGGTTTCACCTAAGCAGGACTGACTCTCTCTCTCTCTCTCTCTCTCTCTCTCTCTCTCTCTCTCTCTCTCTCTCTCTCTCTCTCTCCCCCTTTCCATCT